TTATCCTAGCAATACAAACATTTTGAATGAGACACTGACCGGGCAAAACTGGGCAAAACTAATTTGATTTACGGCCCATGTTTAGAAATTGATTTATTACAATTTTGAATTATTGGCTGTAGGACAATAATTCTCGTGGGGTAAGCTGGTTCCCGCCCCACAATCAGTGTTGATAGTGTATGGACCGGGAGCTGGTGTGCTTGCAAAGTGCCCAAAAACAAAACCCTTTTTTTCCAGAGGCTTGAAGACGTCCCTAGAAAAAGGAAAAAAGGAGCTACTTGGTTGGAATAAAACACACAAGATGAAAATGTATTAATACAATATCACAAAAAAAAGCACACCAAAAAGTAAAAAAAAACAAATTTGGTGAAGATTATGTGGAATGCAACTTAAAGTGAAGTTAGAAAATTGATCTATTTATTGACCTCCACTATTGGAAATTTATGTAGAGACAATGGGTCAGTTTTAGTGACAACTAATTGCTATAGTGTCACTCGGTCAGTTATGAGAAAGGATCAAGTGTTGTCACTAATTGAGAATTCACTGACGGAAGTTTTCATTGATTTAATATGTGATTGGTGAGATAAGATGCAAAACTTGCAAATGCAATTCAGTATTTAATCATTACAGATCAAGATCATTGTTGAGCAGTGATTAGAATATGGATCAGTTGCGGAAAAGCAGTGCTCGGTAACTAATTAAGAGGATGATCACTGAATTTCAAATTAACTGATCATGACCACTGATGAGGGTGATGGTTTGTGGAGAGCATTGTTTTGGAATCACAGTGTTTAAACTTTACTGATCATAGAAGCCAGTGCCAGAATGTTGTTATCACCAGTGGTGACTAGGAGCATGAGTTAAACAGAACTTTTTTTTTAAATACCGACTAAACACTGAGTTATAGCTCTGGTTGTCTAAACCATGCTTCCCTTTTTATGAGTTCATTACTTCACATGGCGTATATTCGTAAAGTTCTGGATTTACACCCAAAAAAGCTGATATAGTTCATGGCAGTGGAAAACTGTTTGAAACATCAGCTGACAGCTTTGATAAATGTTGATGGCTGTCATTTGTAGCGGCAGTTATGTAATTGCTGGAGGAATCTGATGAGTTGTTAACCCTCCCTCTCTGGCTGGCAATTTCAAGAAGGCCAGCCCAGCAATCAACATACAAGTGACTGATTTTAGTAGTTGAGTGCTCCCTGCTCTAAAGCAGGGTTGACTGGCTGTGATTGTTATGAAACCTGATACAGCTATGCCTTGACTGAAGGAGATTGATCAGCCAGCTGATTACCTGATTTTGTCTGTTGAGTGAATTTGATTGTCTCAGTGCCTATAACAAATAATGATCTGACTGTTGGTGACTAGCCTGTGTAAAAGGCATAGCAGGGGAAGAGGATTGAATTTTGACTGTCTGTGACTGGTCAAACAATAGTTGATTAGATTATCCATCACATTTGTGGAAAAATCACTTCATCATTTTGGAACATCCCAGATCATAGATGTTGCTATTGAAAATGTTTGTACCTTCGACAATATGAAAGTAAGAACTATTTTTAGTGTTTCTGTAATTGTAGTTTTTAATGAATTGTTCTGTATAATTGCTGGGCACCTCTGGGAAAACAGTGTACCACTGAGAGGTTTCCCCAGGGTAAATAAGAAATAAATAAAATAAAATAAAGGATCATTCATTGAAACATTGCTATTGCGATGAAAAGTAGGAGAACGCCACAACAGCTAGAAGTCAACAGTGGACTGACCAATAGCAGATAAAGTTGATTGGTTGTGGAGAAGGTGGATTGCTGTTTGTAATCATTGTTACTGGTCTTGATTATTACCTGAAAAGTTTGTCATTGAAGATGAAACTGATTTCAGGTGCTGCAGAATTGTCAAAGCTGATCAGTTACAAGAAAGGTTCATATCTGGAGAATTTGACATTCCAAATTCCACAAATTGTTAAAACCAAAGTGGTCATTAGTAGCAGCTGAGTACAATCTGTTCTCTGTGTCGACCATTGAGGAGAGAAAAATCTGCAAAGATATTCCAGAAGGATATTCTGAAGCTGGTTTATGGTACTTGTTTCTGGTATTTTAACAGTGGTGAAAGATGGTTCTTGGTCATTCTGAGTATTTCATTATAGGAGGCGCCTGATCCTTGGAAAAACCTCACATCAGGGTGTTGCCTAGGTAATTATTACCTTGGTAACTGGAGATGGCGTAACCCCATACTGCGGTTTGGGAGCCCAGTTGGCATAGTGGTAGGGCCAGTATTGAAATTAAAATGCTGCTATAATTGTAACATTACAATTTGAGGTTGAGTGGTCAGAAAGTCGAAAGTTGAAAATTTTTAGGAGCTATTTGTTCCTCTTCAACATGTGCTGATGTTTGATTTAATATACGGTATTTTTTTATGCTAAGGTACCTGTATTTTATATTAACCCTAAACCCCCTAGGCTGTGAAAAATCATTAAAATTTGATCATTTTGGACTGTTAGATTAGAAGTATTAAAAAATGCAATTGTGTAATACCTATTTAGTATTTTATTGTAACTTGCAGGTTGATAAGCTAACTAATTAAGCTTTACTTTATACTTGCAAAGTTATGCAAACTGGAGGTGTTATCATTTTTCATGTACATGTTTGGAATTGATGGGGGAGGAATCTTGCGAAAACAGCCTACAATAATGTTATTTAATTAACGTTTCATAACTGTGCAAAGTTTTCACTTTCTTGAAATGGACATATGTCGGTTTTTGTGTGTGGTTTTTTAAATTCTTTATTGATTCTTTCCTTATTCTTCAAGTTAGCAGAATTTTCTTATGTGCCTGAGGTTCAGTGGGGGAACCTGGGCTTAATTTCTACTTGAATTAGTTTGTAGAATTTCTAAATCTGAAAAAATAGTTGTGCTATACTTTAGGCTTTTAAATATACAAAATATTTTTTTTAAATATACAAAATAAGTAGGCCCATTTTGCGATACATTGATGTCTGGATTTTGAAACCATTCGTTGAGAGAATATAAGTTATTAGCATTAACTGTAAGATTTTGTGAAAAGAACATTTTTTTTTTTTAATAACAGTATTTTTTTGGGGGGGGGGGGTTAACCCTTTTATAGTAAGTCATCACTAGGAAGATAATTTTGATGCAGTCCTTGACTCTGTCAACTTAATAATGCACGTCTTCAACGATACTGGTAAATCCACATGGCTTCCATGTAAGATTTTGTGAAAAGAGCATTTATTATTTTTAAACTTTTGGGGGGGGGGGTAAATTATGGTAAGTCATCGCTAAGAAGATAATTTTGATGCAGTCTTTAACTCTGTCAACTTAATGATGCACGTCTATCAGTCTTGAACGGTACTGGTAAATCCACATGGCTTCCTTGCCATATCAGGAATATTTTTGCGTACCGATTGATGACGAAATACCTCAAACTGTTTCTGTCTAAGGACTTACTTGATTGCAACTACCATCATCAAAGACCCATCATGACCTGTCCCAACTGTGTCTGTCTAAAGACTTGCTTTAAATAACTACCATCATCAAAGACCCATTGTGTCCTGTCCCAACTGTGTCTGTCTAAAGACTTGCTTGATTGTAACTACCATCATCAAAGACCCATCATGTCCTGTCCCAACTGTGTCTGCCTAAAGACTTGCTTGATTGCAACTACCATCATCAAAGACCCATCATGTCCTGTCCCAACTGTGTCTGTCTAAAGACTTACTTGATTGTAACTACCATCATCAAAGACCCATCGTGTCCTGTCCCAACTGTGTCTGCCTAAAGACTTGCTTGATTGCAACTACCATCATCAAAGACCCATCATGACCTGTCCCAACTGTGTCTGTCTAAAGACTTACTTGATTGTAACTACCATCATCAAAGACCCATCGTGTCCTGTCCCAACTGCGTCTTTCTAAAGACTTGCTTGATTGTAACTACCATCATCAAAGACCCATCGTGTCCTGTCCCAACTGCGTCTTTCTAAAGACTTGCTTGATTGTAACTACCATCATCAAAGACCCATCGTGTCCTGTCCCAACTGTGTCTGTCTAAAGACTTGCTTGATTGCAACTACCATCATCAAAGACCCATCGTGTCCTGTCCCAACTGCGTCTTTCTAAAGACTTGCTTGATTGTAACTACCATCATGAAAGACCCATCATGCCCTGTCCCTTGCCCTTCCCTTTCCCCTTGCTCATGCAAGTTATTCCTGAGATCCAAGCCTGGCACACTACGACTAAATTGGCAAGGTTTCCTGAACGACTCGAGAAAAAAAGTATTCTAGACGTTGAATTTTGGCTTCTCAAAGTAGTTTGTACCACGCTGTCAGTAAATTGATTGTTTAATGTTTTTACGAAACAAACACACTTTTTTTCATTTTAATTTTCATTTTAATCCTGGGTTCAGTTCGCTTGTTTGAAACTAACAATCTGTACTGTGGGGATTGCAACCAAAGTGAGCTATGTGTGTATCTTTTGTGTTTATAATGTCTTTAGCCCAATTGCTAGTGACATTAGAGAGGGCGTCTTCAAACGGCTGGTTTTGACCCTTATTTTTGTAACCGTTTCATTGAAAGCTTCTCTCATCAGCTAATTAGAAAGAAGTTTCAAAACTTTATTTCAAATTCATAAAATGGATATCTTTTACTGAATTATTATTTAAAATAAATTCCAAAAATCAGATGTGGTGCCAAGAATAATTATGGCTCTTGCTAAGAAAAAATGAATGTCTTTATTCCCTTGACTTCATCCTTAACTCACAATCTGAAGCTTAATATCGTGATTATTTTAATATAAATTTCGTCACAATTTCATGCAGACATGCATTGTTTTCCCGCAATAGTTCTCGTGCAATTAAATTTAAAAAAAACTTCAGGCACGATAAGACAGTGTTAAAACCAGCCGTTTGACGTGCAGATATTGTAACTTGATCTAAACCTAATTTCAATCTTCAGGACACTCTGATGGCTTATAATTTGTTTTCCCTCATCAGATGACTGATCACATGACTGAGATGCTGAGTCCTGGTGGAGGTTTCCTTGGTCTCATTTGGAAGACTGCTGACAGGAATTGGCTGGACTGGATCAAGTGGCTGCTGTTGGAGCAAACTTTGAGCAAATCCTTGGCAATGAGAGGTCCCAATCCAATCATACAAGATAATATTCCGAGTCTAAAAATTTAAGCAAGGAAAGAGAAATACCAGACAAGAATAAATCACCTTTTTCCAATAAGAAAAGTTCGCAGTTAGAACCATGTAACAAAACTCTTTTGTGAGTTAGTGAGGTTCTTTGCCATGCAATCCTTCAATTGTTATCTCATGTTTTTCCCAACTATTGTGAGGCAGCACATGTACTTTCATTGCCAAGGGTTTGCTCTTATGATTGATTAATTTGAATTAGTTGTCCAGGCACATGTCACAAAAGTCTGAAATGTTTTCAAAATTAATAAGGATAAGCACATTACAACCCCACCCCTCCAAAAAACCCTCCACTCCTTATAACGTTTTTGTTAAGACGTAAAGTTTGAACTCGTGCAAAAGTACAAACCTTATGAATTGCATTAACTGTGATGCTCTCTAGACTTTTCATTTTTGATTCTGAGTGTTTGTAACTCAAAATGAAGGTCTAAAACAGACAAATTTGTTGACATGTGCCTGGGCTGTTGTCTTTAACTGAAAAAAAAGTTAAGCTGAAAATTGATAATTGTATAGATCTACAATGGCACATTATAATCATTGATCAATATAAATTGATCAATTTGGCAGTTTTATGATTATATTAATAACACATTAATAGTTGAATTCTGATGTGATGATGTTCTGTTTGATCTCTGCCATTGTATCCTTTTTACTGCTTGAGTTTTGATAATTTTGGATGGCAGTGATACCATTTGTTTAAATATATACTTTGAAATCATGAAATGTTTTATCAACTTAACTGTTAATGAATCTGTTTCCGACATTTCAGAGAAAAGAGTTCTATTAATGAGAAGAAAAAAAACAATGCATGACCAATTTTTATTGAGGTAAAGAATGTAACATTTTGCATTTTTATATCATGCCTTTAGTCACAAATTGAATGTATTTGGCAAGGTAATATTTATTGGTAAGGTAATATATTATAATGTGCCATTGTAGATTCATTTGCTACTTTAATTAAAATGAGGTTTCTGTGATGTGATGGTGTTTTTCTTTTGGACATATCTGCTGTCTATTTGTACAAGTTTGCAGCACAGAACATTGCTATCATATCCTGTTGGATAAATTCCATATTTTCTATGCTACGATTCAAAAGAAATTGGTTATACAAGTATACAAATAGGGCTAATTTGACACAATTTACTGCAGAAACAGCGAAAAAAATTTAAGCTATTCGTGGATTTCAGTATTTCAAGGAAAAAGTACAAATTTGGCAATTTGAAATTTGAAAACTAGAAAAATTTAAGTTGTATTTTTAAGATTTTTTTCTCAAGACACGTTTTTCGTTTGCAATAATTATGTTTGCGAGAAGAAACAAATGCATTATCTAAGACTTGCTGCAAATTTGATCTAAGTAGACAGCAGATATGTCCTTTGGATGTCGGAGAGTGGGGGGGGGGGGGTTCCAACTGAAGGGCTCTCTTCAGTGGGGTTTAACTTAAAAACTTTTTGAAGGGCGCCCTCTTGTGATCTATTTTTTAGACGGCAATGTGTGGGTTGCCCACTTGGAACAAACTAAATGTTAAAATGAAAACCGTCACAAGAGGGCGTCCTTCAAAAAAATTAATTGAAAATTTTTCTTGGCGCCCTTTATAGTGCCTAACAGTTTTTGAAGTTGAACTTTGTCAAAGAGGGCGCCCTTTGCGTATTTTAACTTGTTTTTTTTTTTAAATAAGTTAAAATTGTAAAATATTGGGGGTGCCCTCTGGTTATTTAATTTGAAAAAATTTAATTGGAATAAAATACAAGTGAGACATGGTAATTTGGTTTTTTTTTTTATTTGACCTTGAACTTGAACTTGATAATTAATGGTAAATTTTTTTTTTATTTAACCTTGAACTTGACCTTGAACTTGACCTTGAACTTGAGCTGACCAAAAAAAAAGCCCAACGCATACAAGTCCCCCGAGGCGTGCAGGCATGGTGTTCCCCGCCCACAGACATTGACAAGTCCAGCGAGTCGCCCTCTATCTACATCAACTCATGATCAGTTGATCTTAGTGCACACTAACTCCCCAAACTTGCAAGTCCAAATAATCACAAATGACTTGGTTAACTCCAACATGATAAGGATCCTTATGAACTTTAACAATCAGTTTACTTTTCTGACAAAGTCAATGCCGTATTAACCATTTCAATTACTAAGTATTGCAATGGAAATTGTATACCAACAATCACTCCAAAAATTGCCAAAGTAGAGATCTCTCTCACATCTACTTATGATTGTCTCACTCAACATTTCCGTTGTTCACTGTTGCATCATGGTTCTGATCCCTTTGAATGAAATGCAATACAAACAGATTACAATTTGCCAGCTTTCTCCGATATTTCCAATGCAATAAGATTTTAGGGCATTTATCTCAACCACCATTTATATAAATAACTCCATGATATAACTCTGAAATCTCCCTGCCGTTTATCGCATCAACATGTACAGTAATCAGTTCATCTCATGAGTGTGTCGTCAGATTTTTACAAGTAATTGTAAGTTTATTTTAGCTTTAGACAGACATGCACAATTAAAGGTGAATTGGCAAAGGCTGACACCAATTCAGTAAATGTCAATTGCAAAATGCATAAATAATTTTTGCAAGTAGGTTTCACTAATTTATACGTTCAAACATGACCACATTTGGCAGGTTGTTTCTTAAGTATTGTTGCGCATCAAACTTTTCATCAGATTCACAAATGTATGTTAGAATGATCACGAGGAGTAACAAAAGATATTCCGAGTACTTTGATGACTTTTGGCAGCACTATTTCTAGTTCTAAGAACGTCTACTTTTTGCAAGACATTTAGTGCAAACTCAAAATTGCACTATTTAATGGTTGCCTGAAAGTCAATGTTACAATAAGCGATTGAAAATTTATTGGAATTTTCACGTACCGGTAACTAGTCTTTTTCTAATTAGGAAGTGGGAATTATTGCAAAATTTCAAACATATTTTAGTCAAACTAGTCCAAATTCAAAGCAACAGTTCACTGCAGTAACTTGATTTGTTCAAACTGAGTTTTTTTGATAAATATTGTATTCAAAGCTTTTGGCCATTTTGCCAAGTATACACACACTTTGAGATGTAATAAGTTCTGACATTTGTATGAAGTCTTTATTTTGAATGAGCAAATACCGGTCGGTATCTTACAAGATTTTTCTCTTAGGAAAGACTGGTCTAAGTAACTTTCCATTGTGCCATCATCGATCTTCAAGAAAACTAGCTTCATTTTAAATTAGTGGATTGAATTCAAATATTACAATTTGAATTTGACCAACATAGTTTGATTGGGAATTTTAAGAGTTACAAAGTTAATTAGATTGAAAAAAAAAACCAACTTTTAAAAAAATGTGCAGATGATTTTCTTGTTACTGAGTACATGCTTCTTTTTTCAAGATTTCTGGCCAAACTCTTAGCGAATCAGTTTTTTCAAAACTGACGTTAGCCATAATTATTTGAAATATGTCACAATTTTTGCATATTGTAAACAAACATGTGACACAAGATTTTGTGTTCAAGAGTTTTGGACATTTTTGTAATATTTCTCTCTCTTTTTTTTTAAATTTGGGAGGTTGACGTGCATCTTTTTTGAAGAACCATGCTGTTCCGTGGCCAATGTTGCAGTGGCGTAGCAAATGGGGATGGGAGGGGCCTTCCATGTGATACAGGAAGGGGGCTGTCTGTCCGATTGGACAAAAAGATTTCAAAATCCGTACTCGGCCTTTTTGGGCCGACATGTATAAAAATACATGTACATGTAGCTGAGAACATGTATAGTGAACATGTGCATCCAAATGGTCAAAATTATACACATGTTCTCTAGTTTGCCCAACATGAAAATTTCTGGGATTTCCATTTGTCCCCTCCTGTTTTCTTGTGGCCCCTCCTTCATTCTAGCTACGCCACTGTTGATGTGGTGGCAATCTGCCCCTCAGCATCCTCAGAAGCTGTGGCATCATGACACAGGGACAGTCTTGTCCCGCCATCCATGGTCAAGTTTAATTGAAGTTTTCATTAATTCATGCACTGTACAACGACAACATACATCCTCATCTGTTTTGCTCGCTAAACCTAAATGTGTATCATGGCATTTCAGAGTAAACATACTGCTACATGCCTACATTACAACAGATATTGCACATTTATGCTCGCATGCAAACCTAGGCAGGCCCCAGGACAAATGAATAAATGGCAGTTTCTTAGATGATGATGGATTCACGACATAGTCAACACGACATAGTCAGACCCTACCTTTAATTTCCACACCATTTATAAGTGTAGGCCTACATGTACATTATTTTATACAGGACAAGACATTTTCTTGGTTTCATCACCACCAAGGAATGGATCATATTACTCCAATCTTAGTTTTCAATTTCGAAAAGATCAATCATTCAATTTCTTCATGTAAATCATTTGCATGTACCTGCAGCATTTGCAGAGACTGTACATGTACATGTACACATGACATTGTCTACATGTACATGTACATGTATAAACTCAATATGAGAGTATTTCAAGGGGCCGGCCTGTATACATTGTGCAGGCTATCTACATATCTCTAAGCTTTTTTCCACAGTCTTTTTTCACTGTTCTTTTTGCCTTCTTTCCTGTAAAGTCTGACTTTATTTTTCAAGTCAAACATTCAACGACGGTATGACACCTTGAATATTTGGCACAGAATTGCAGTGACACACTGATGACTTAACAAACAAGTTTGTTTTCTCAGATTTGTTTTTAGGAAATTTTGCTTTCTTTGTAAATTGTGAGTACGGTCTAAAGTTATTCCACTGGAAAAGCAGAACTGCAACAGCAAAGTTCTTCCATGTATCTGTTCCATGTACATATACATGTACATGTATCTGTTATTCTAGATATCTGATCACCGAAACTGCCAATTTTTTATTCAAGGTTTATTCTGGGGCCTGCCTATAACCACCTTTTAAGACAAGACAGAACATTAACTTCAAACCTTTGACATGAACATGTATACAATTTGAGATTTTTTTGATTGAACCTACAAGTACCCTAGAGAAATTATGAATTTTGCAACTTTTCCTGTCTGCAAACATGTCCATAAAAAAACATGTCTTTTGCCTATCCAACTTTTCTAGAAATAAGGTTCATTTATTTTGAGAATACAAGTATGGACTTAATTTGGGGGTTGTACGTATTGACCCTGTGAAGATAAAAAAAAATAACCCCAAGTATATTACTAACTAAGGACAATATATACTGAAATCATGGCACTAAGTTCAATTTCATACTCACTGATATTTTCCGAGAACTGCAAGTCACTTGATTTCATTTTTAATACAGTTATTAAGATATCCTAATTCATGTATTAGTCCTTTCACTGATTGAGTCACGAAAAGATGTAGATCAAATCTGAGACTTAAGTCAAGTGCCTGGCATTTTTACTTCGAAAATCGGCCGTGTCTGGTTTCTCACAAAAGTGTAGTGTCTCACAGTTTAACTTGTTTTAATTTATGCAAGTTTGTTTATTACCCAATTTAACCTGGTTATCAGTGTTTGACGCTACTGTACAATGTCATCATTTGTCATCATTAATCACATTAATGCGCAATTTATGTCCTGGTTTTATTGACTATTTGCTCTGCACAACTAGTCACTGATTTTCTGAGTTATGGTCTGGCTTGTTCATGGGAAACATTACTAAGTGTTGAATGTTAAAAACTGTTGACTTTTAGAAGAATACAATTTTGCAAATTTCCTGAGGACCTAATTTTAACCTGTTTTAATCACATTCATGTTCATTGTTTTTTCCTCCTGGTTTTATTGACTATTCACTCTGCACAACTATTCAATGATTTTCTGAGAAACAGTCTTCAGGTTTAACATGAAACAAGAACATATCCTGGAGTTTACATTTTCAATAATTTTTTGAAATTACTGACTACTGTCAATAACCAAAAGCACTAAGAATACCTGCATTCTTAAAGACATTAACTGTCCCAACACAACAAACTATCCTACATGTACATGTACATTTTATCGACGCCTCTTGAGACAAAACTGATCTTAAACTGACCTGAATAATTAATTAAAGAACCTTGGACGTTTTGAACCCTTTAGTGACCACAGTGGCCTGAGGTGACCAGAACTGAATTGTCCGCAGTAGCCACACTGGACAAACATTTTCAACATTTTTTCAGCATCACATGAAAATTGACTGGTTAAAAAAATCTGATTGTACAACACTACAGGTACAGAGTGTCATTGAGATACAAGTTGAGAATTTGAATGTTTGAATTTGGAAAGTGACGCCTCACAATATTTGCATCACAAAATGCACATTGCAAAGTGCAATGCACAATGAGAGAAGTGTGGTCACTGATGGGTTCAAGCATGGAGCATAGCTACATGTAGACTTCAGTCTGTGGCAATACCAACATGTGTCCTGAAAGATCTTCACCTTATTTGACAAAATGAAACACAACGGTTACAGCGTCATGCCAAAATGCAATATTCCTAACATTACTGGTTTGGCTGGGGTCAAAACTGAATAAGGTTATCAAAGTTTGTAAACAAATGCCTTTGGAAACTGTATTAGAAGTTACTTTCACAATCGTTCTTACTTACAGTACTTAAGACAGCCATCTTGCTACAATCAATGGCTTGGCAATTTTTACTTTGTAAAGTTGTGAGTCATATCAGATAGAACAATTGCATTCCTTTTGCTGGCAATACAAAACAATTGTTTCCATATCACTTTCGGTTTCAGAAATCTTTGAAGGATTTGTGAACAGTTTGCGGAT